TAACAATAAGACGCTAGGCGCTACAGACTTTGATCAAATCCCACCTAAACTATCGCGGTTCGCCCACCGTTCAATATCTACTAGTGAGCTCTTCCCCCGTGGTCCTCTCCCCTCCAAAGATTGAGTCTGTATTTCACACGAGCTGTTCAGCGAGCACCAAAATATGTCTCAGAAGCGCGTCGAGTGCAGACCACACACCACAAGTGACGACGGCCTCCACAAAATGTAAATGTTTTCTGCCAATGAAATGATTAGCCTGTTGCAGTTGTATTCTATCAGTTGTCACTAATTACAACTATCATTTACCAACTATCAGCTATCACTGAATCACTTTACCAGATTTACTTGGAGGCGTCGTCACTTGGTGTGTGGTCTGCACTCGACGCGCTTCTGGTTCTCTGGGGCAGAAGGTACTCAGCATACTTATACGGACTCAAACGACTGCATGTATGTAAGTACCTAATGAGCTAATACCAGAAGAAACCACTCGGCTGTGCTTTTCGCGGTCGCCATCCGTTGCTGACCGAGAAGCCAGTATTCTCGTTATATGACGTCCCAACCTGATCTGGTCATCATTATGGACCGAGAATCGCGGGAGCGGGACTCCCTACACAGATCACTACGAAGTTCAGCACGATATTGAGTGACTATGTTTTTCAGAAATGTATAGCCTTAGGCCTCTTATCGTTAGGGTTCTTAGTTGGCTCCGACCAGGGTCAACCCTATCGTTGTTACTCTTTGGAAATTTTTTACGACCCCCCCCCTTCATGGGTGATTTGATACGACCCCCCTTGTATGTGACACTTGTGTAGAGACAGTGTTTACCATCAATATTTATTTCTACGTAAGTCATCAAAGATGAAACTTTAGCAAAATCCACGACAGATATTCATCGCTGCTTCCAAACACGAAAAAATGAGATGCATTCAAAGATATCCGTGTACTCCAAAGGGTTACCAAACTAGGAGATGAAATAAACTGAACCAGTGACCGGAATATTGACAATATTACCTGATAAAAACTTATGAGAAGTCAGAAAAAATTATCGCTCCAATTGAAATACTGAAATCCTTCACGTTCTTCAATTGCAACACAATTTTTACACCCCTCTTTCTAAGGCTATAACTTCCTTCATATTCGAGCTTCTGCGCCGAAGTGATTTGATTTGGAAAATTCAAATTATTCTCTCTCCAACCATGGGTAAAAATTCTTCGAAAGTTAATTTAATAAAAATTTAGTACGTTGTTACTTTTTTCTGTGCAAAGCGACTTTTTGACCTTCAAATGATCATAACTTCTTTCAAAGTCACTCATTGGGAAGCTGAACACGTATAATAAACTACAGGATTCAAGCTTTCTAACGAACAAGCACCCAAAGCGTTTTCTGAAAGATCAGTAGTTCAAAAATTAGTCCCGTTGTTACTTTTTTGGGGGTTTGCGTTACTATTTTTTGGAACCGCGACTTTTTGACCTTCAAACGATCATAACTTCCTTCAAAGTCATTCATTTGGGAAGCTGAACACGGTATGACAAACTACTCGAATAGCTTAAGCGTAAAATTGTTATCAGCTAAACTGACGGTGGCCTCCATTAGGAGCCCAGGAGCTGCTCTGTAGACGCTCCAGAACGCCTTCGTCTCATTGACTACACTTATGGAACACCCAAAGAGAGTAAAATGTGACCCTTTGATGGGACATGCCACCAATCCTGATCTGAATGGCTATTCGCGAAATGTGCAAGATTGTTCCAAACACGCTCTTTTCTGTTCAACTTCAGAAAGCATCGGCTCCGTCAGAAGCACTGCATAAGAAGCAGGTACAATTCAAGGCACGTGTGCGGTAAGAAAAAAGATCAGGTGCCAACAAGGCGGTCTCCCTGGAGTGAGACGCAGGTCTTCGAAGTTGGCAAGGAATGCGTGACTTGTGCGAGCCAAGTGGACACGATTCCTTAAGCTTGCCATTATGGGGGCTGTCGTGTCAACATCTCTATCAAACGTGGCTCGTGGTGTTTTTCCTCTTATGAATGCTCTTCGCGTTTCGCCTGCTGGAAGCCGTGTTCTCCGCATCAAACAAGCAGACCCAAAGAAAAGAAATTTCAGTGTTTTCTCTGGCGCTTTTCGCTCTTTCTCCACACTCACGTTGCTCATCGAAACTCTTGTTGAAATTTCTAACATAATAACCCACCACCACGATCCCTAAAAGTGCCTTTAGGAAATGGGGTTTCGAGAAAAACCTCACTTACACATGAGTAATTTTAGTTCCTGTCTAGGAATATTTGGTTATCCGCCCGCCCAGAATTAGTGAGCACTTTGGCCAGGGTGGTGTTGGCCTTGCCTTATACCCTTGTCCACGTAAGCAGAGAGGCGATTGGAACAATCATCGCAGTACTTCAGTGAAAAAAAAATCTCCAGCTGAATGCTGTCATGTAGAAGGGCAACCCTAAGCTACTTGTTGACAAAGTTTTGTTATTCTCGACGACCGCTTTTCGTGGTCATCAAGGACTAGACTAACGGGCATTTGAGATTCTCGGCGCACACCTGTGACCGCAGTACACGAGGTGGTGAGCGGCTGAATCTCTATCGAATGTGACTTGCTCGGTATTTCCTGGTTAGGTCTTAGAAAGGAATTACCATGTGCGAGTACCTCCACTCCACTTTTCTCAAATTTTCTCTTTTCTTAGTTAAGATGTCATGTGCATTTCCAGAATAAGTTCGTGACCGCGTGCATGGGATTGAATGGGCGAGACTTTTCGTAATCTAGAGTTACGGCGCCATTCAACAAGCCTAACTCTCACCTCTGTACGGAGAATTCGGGGTGCGTCTCTCCAGCGAAGATTTCTGGACCTGATAGTGAGATCAAGCCAACCCAAAAGTGCACATGATTCGACACATCCAAATATCCTAGCGTTCATAAATGGATGAAGAAAATGTGCTTCTCAGAATCCATGGCTTCTGAAGGCAGTGATAAATTAGGTATCACTTGTAAGACCAACTGTTCGGTCAGTTCCCTACAGAATAACCACATGCTAAAACTGGAGCAGGACCTGACCTGCAGGGCTTTAACTGATTGTACTAGAAACGAGCCACCACGAGGGACAAAAAATTTATTAATTTTTGTGCCATACAACCAACAAATTCGGAAAGTCGTCTCCCGTGACGTGATTTTCTCGTAAAATCTCCAACTGACAATGAGAAAGGACAATAACAACAACAATAACAAAACTTTCACAATAACAAATTCCTCCATATATTTTGGTCCTCACACATTCAGACAATCATAAGGCTTGGGTATCGATGTCGGAATGTCAAAATCACGAACGTCATAAATATAGAAACCAATAGATCACGATTTCGTGGGATCACAGCCAAAAGATACGAACCACTCAGTACCCAGTTCGGCTTATTTTTCTATATGAATTTAATATGATTCTCCACAAACTCTTCACCAACCAATTCTCCACTAATTCTTTAGCTCTTCAACTCAGAAGCACCTGCTCTGCATATTTCGCTATAAAAAGTGCTGCGGACACATGAACGTTGAGACTGCGAGTTTGGCCGAGCTGCTGAATTTCCACCGTCTGGTCAACACACCGCAACAGATTCGTTGGAACACCTTCCTTTTCATCGCCAAGAAGCAGAACAGTCTGAAAAACGTTCCACGCCATAACGTAAAGAAAGAGATATAAAAAAGGAAAGTCAGGATAAAATTTCCAAAAGGCGCTGCTAAGCACACGCACGGTCAAAGGACCTGAATCGTACGTGGTCTTAGCTAGTGAGCGCTCTTCCACACCTTTTTAGGCTTGCCTTTAAGTAACACTGAATAAGTTTCACACATATATGTTATTATAGCGTTGGAGGAAAAGTCTCTCACCTTCCGTGGGAAACTGAACTTGTGTAAGAAAACACTATCAGTAGTTTGTTCTGCAGCGATGACTGTGTAGCCCATCTTGCGCATTTCTTCCAAGTAATGTGAAAGACGATCCGAGTTTACCTAGACGTATATTCTGATTACAATAACATGCTACTCCAAGCTTATAGACTTACAAATTCTATTTTCTGCTTTCTTTCGCTTGACATGCTCAGAGCTTTGAAACCAGCATCAGCCAAAAATATAGGGTCAGCAATAATTAGCTCATCCACGCCAAAAATTTCACAAGTGCGGCATAGTCCTGTAAGTAAAAGTTGGCCAAAAATTCATCCCAGCACTGTTAAGCGAAACAACTACCTCCTAAATTGTTTGGCTTGTCGACAAGAGATGCCACAACTTTAATGCTGCAGTCTTCCCGGAAACTCCTTTCTCCCGTGATGAGTTTCCGTTGAACAAGGGAAGAGCCTGAAAAGTGGATTTTTCGTTTTTTTTATTTTTGTGGAAGAAGCTAGCTGAATACGCTAGCGTAAAATTCAATCCCTATCAAAGAACGTCACCTTCATGCTCCAGCAATTCAGCATCCATTTCACCCTCATTAATATCAGGAGCACATCGATTGCTTTTTGAAAGAGCTACAAACACATGATTTCGAAGTGTTAAAAATATGCGACCGACTAGCAGCGATTACCTGAGTACACTAAAGATTGAGCAGAGAGAAACTGTGAATCTTCGTTAACGCTTGGAATGCCCGACGAATTGAACTTCTGGAACAACAAGGGAAATAAATGAAAATGTGACTTAAGCGAAAGTTTCCTACTTTGAGAAGGTCAACGCCAATCGTCTCCTCAGGGGGCATGCCTGTCTTTGCCGGTATTTCTCTCAGAATTGTTTGCATATCGAAATGCTTTATAGGATGCAAATGGGCGAAATAGAAATCCGCTGACAGATTTTCTATTATTCGCTTCGAATTCCTAAAATGAAGTGCATCAGACCTGAAACATCACTCTCAAATCGGACCGGATTGGTGTGGCATTTTGTCGGAAAATAGAAAAGAAGAAGTCAAACAGGGATTTGAATAGGGGAAAAGCAAAAAGCGCCATAGAAAATGCTGAAATTTCCCTTGTGAGGTCGGCCGTGGTATGACGGAGAGATACAGCGCTGCGAGGAGAAGGAAAACGAGAGAGAACATAAGGGCGCAAACGCCACCTATGCCGCGATTAATAAGGATGCCAATGGGAGAGGCACAGCCTTACCAGGAAGGTCTTTCAGGGCGTGCCAAGCTTTTTCAAAACGGTCTTTTGCATGATATAGGGGCACATGCGGGAACCACAGAACCATGGTTAATTTTTCCTGAACGGCCCTCTGAATACCAAAAAGGGGTCCCTAGTTCGATTCCTCGTGGTGACAAACTTTTGCATTTCGAGTTGACGTGGTTACTGACGGTCCTAATATGAATATGCATTCATAGTTCATGCTAACTCCATTTTGCGCGAATTTTGAAACGTCAACTCGAAATGCAAAAATTTGTCACCACGAGGAATCGAACTAGGGACCCCTTTTCTGGTATTCAGAGGGCCGTTTCAGGAAAAATTGAACATGGTTCTGTGGTTCCCGCATGTGCCCCTATATCATGCAAAACCGTTTTCAAAAAGCTTGTCACGCCCTGAAAGACCTTCCTGGTTAGCGTCCTTGCCGTGCACTTTTCACTCAGACAGCGTCGCGGCTCCTGTGTTTGGGACCTCCTTTCCCAGTCACAGAGAGACTGGCTCTCGGTATCTACATTAATTCGAACCCGTGACTTCCAAAGAAGATGTGCGCATCCCAAACCTTCGAACTTCCCATAAAGAAACCAGTTCAGCGAATTTCACTAACCATCCATTGTCCCGAAATCAGAAAGTTAACAAGCATAGTCACCTGATGAATGGTATAACATTGTTCACAGAACTTACCCAGCAGGCTCGCATCAAACTCACAACCCTTCGGAGCAGGTTCCATTTTACTAGCTGCTCAGGCGGAAGGGTATTGTATAGCAACCGCAGGGCAGCAATAGCAGTGCAACGCACGGCAAAATTCTGCGCCGTCCGTCCAAGGCAAGATGAGTTCTATGTATGAAGCTGACGAGGTCTAAAGAACAGCAAACAATCGCCAAGCGGAAAAACAAGAAAGAAAAGAAATCAGAAGTTTTGCAGACCTCCGACGCCTCAGTGCGTGACATCAGTACCATCATATTAATCCATGATGAGAACACTACCAATTCGGGGTAGCAATGATCATCATTCCTAAACTCAAATAGACTCTTTGTAATATTTGCAACGATAACGGATAGCCAAACGCAAACAAGGAGCCATATCACGGGCAATAAGCATTTCGATGAGAGACAACTGCTGACATCGAGATCTTCTATCCAAGTTCACGCGAGTTCCGACAAATACACTTTGTCAATGACAGCCACTGAATGAGGAAAAATTTTAACATAGGATATATATCGAAGTCATAATCACTCGACATAAGAATGGAATGCCCAAAAAATTGCAAGAATTAACAACAAAAAAACCGCCAAGCTTCTAATTGGAGTAATGAAAACAACCCAAAAGAGGAACGAAAAGCATGAAATGACATAACGCAGACAAGAGCAGGCTATAACGATAGAGTAACAACACAGATTGACGCTACCTGCACGTGATATTTGCAGACAGAACAACCGAGTAATATACAATAGACGCTACAGCAGGGACAGCACCATGTAGGCGATAACGATTAGTACAATTTAAACAGAGCATAGGTTTATCATGGATTATTGGCTGTCTTTCAAGTTAGATATGAAAACACGTTCAATCTTTACAAGCGCGGACAACATTACACGATATCATCGCTGCATGAAATTGTAACATTAATCAACAAGAACGATGCGCTTCAAAAAGAATATGGACAGATACACCAACAATACATGCACCAGAGGAGAGCGTGCTGAACCAAATGCCAACTTCATAATTTGCACGGAACACGACAAAACAATAGTTTTTATCGAGTAGCGTCCTTATATAGATATATAAAAACTCTTAGGAAACCACGACGTTGAATCTAGATAACTTATCAGAGGTTCCAGCTTTGAATGTTCCACTTGAAAAATTTAAAAAAAAAAAACATGATGGAGCGACTCAGCGTTCACAATATGAGGTCCAACTATAAAGCCATATGTTGGGGAAAAATCATCCTTTCAGTCTCTCGAGAACAATCAGCAAGTTTGTCTTACTTTCGACACTAATGGTATGGAAATGATGACGCTAGCCCTGTGTAAGAACACAGTAGGACTGAACAAAAAGCTACCTTATAGAAAGTACCGCTAGAAAGGGAGCTGAACGGCTTCGAAGTGGGCGTGGTTAAAATCGGCTGCAATGCCTCAGCCCCGACGACAACCACGCCCACTTCGAAGGCGTTCAGCTCCCTTTCTAGCGGCTTTCCAAGGTGAGTTTTTTGTTCAGTCACACTTCTTATGTTCTTGACTAGGGCTAGCGCATCGTTCCACACCATTAGTGTCGAAGGTAAAACCCTGCTGGGACTGTTGCTTTAACAAGTTCTATGGAATCTCGATTCCCACTTTTTGATTCTCACCTGCCCACTTACTGCTTTAAACTTTCTGACGATCGTTCATGTGGATAGGCGCCGGGCCACATCCCTCAGACATCATCATCATCGTCCCCTGGATACATCGTAATGCGAATTTCAATGTCAGAAACAAAAAAACCCTCCCTTTATAAGAAGTCTCCATAACGCTCCCTCTTTCACTCTTTCCGGTACTGAAAACTTAGACTAATGAAATCCCACTACACAAAAAGCCACTTGTGATTGCTTTCACAGCTTAGTTCGGTGCGCATTATGTTTCTCAGTGTGTTGAAAACGAATAGCAGTGAAAATCCTCCCTTGAACGACTAGAACTTCAAAAATAAGCTAATTTCGATAAAATGCATGCAGATCTGAAACTCAAGATCCAATCACACAACAAGATGGTCCAAAAACTTCAAAGTTCTTATTGCAACTTAAAGCAACAGTCCCAGCAGGGTGGGCGTGGTCGGAAACGACTGCAATCCCCTCGGCCGATTCCGACCACGCCCACTTCAGCTCCCTCCCTAGCGGCTTTCCAAGGTGAGTTTTTGTTCAGTCACACTTCTTACGTTCTTGACTAGGGGCTGAACAGCTCCGAAGTGGGAATCGGCCGAGGGGATTGCAGCCGTTTCCGACCACGCCCACCCTGCTGGGACTGTTGCTTTAATGGATGAATAAAAATACAAAGAAATATGCATTTTTTCTTTCAACGATGAAAAACTGGCACCGGAAGTGCTTCTGTGCAAAATGGTAAGAAGATTTGTATAGCTCAAGTCATCAGCCTCTCGAAAAGTTCTGAAACTGTCCAGAAGAGTCACTTCAGAACATGGCCTTGTTATGTAGGACTGAAGCACCCAGACCTCAATCTTCCAATACACCCAGAACTGCTTCAGAATAATATTTACGCAAAGTGGTGAGTGAACTCCGAGAACATGAGATTCATAATTTCTAAAAACCATTGAACCCTCCTCTAAGCCATTTACTGAATTCGATCAGTAAACCTGGGGTAGTACACTAGAAAGAAGAGGTTCAGTGTCGCTCAATCTCGTAGAGGAGGGCGCTACACACTCAGCTCTCACTCAGTATGGTAGATACACGTGAAAGACGACAATGGTGTGCTGGTGGGAGCCAATCTGCTCCTAGCAATTTTAGGCCCCCTAAACAGGGCCT